ACAACAAAGATAAAAAACATCCCATGCATCCTTTGTGCTTTGGCAGGTCGTACAAAAAGCATTGTTTTGTTCCATTGTTTTCCTCAAAAAGAGCCTTAAGTAAGTGATTCGTTTTCATGAACCACTGGGGGGGTGGGGAAGTCTTCCTTATAGCTACTTAAAAGAATTTTGCAGGAAGTAGAAGAGATATTTGTGGTACACACATGTGCCAGTCCAGGACATCAGCATAATTGCTCACTGAAGAACCTTTCCTGTTATGTCAATTAAGGAGAATTTTTGTTTATGACTATACCCATCATACTTGTGCAGGTTTTCTGGGAAAGGGTAATTAAACTTAACTCCCTTTAACACCTGTAGCTCATTCCCATTTTGGTTTAATCACTAGCACTTCTTTTCCATAACCTATGAACCATCGCCATACATATGTATGTGTATGTATATATATATATATATATGAAAGAAAGGAATGCATCAATGATCGCAGTAGGAGATTCCTTATGTGACAGTCAAATCAACACACAGCGCACAGCATGTCCACATAATAAACAGGAAAAAACCTTCAAGTGATCTGAAAAAGAACAACGGGAGGAAATGGGGGGATGGGAGGGGTAGGGATGGGAAGGAGCGTACATGCAACTGCTCTTTAGGCAAACTCAAAATCAAGAACTACTGTCAGTGCACGGTAAATACATGCAACCACTAATGGGAAACCTTTTAGGAAAATGTATACTACCCAGTGAAGAGGGTCCATTCTCCACACCAATCCTCACACTGGGTGAGCCATGGATATAAAACAAGCAAAAATCTGTTCTGAAATAAGTATTCTTCTTCCTCCCAAGCACGCTTCCCCTTAGCCATTACTTCCAGGCACAAACATCTTGTTGTCAGAACAAATTTCTCTGCCACAAATTGCTAGGCCAGGAGACAGTTGGCCTCTACAATCCAGTGCCAAGGACACATCCCCATCCCATCCCCCTACTCAGCCTACCTGGATGCCTGCTCCTGGGAGCTGCTCCCCAGGGCTACCAGCTCCTCCTCCTCTGGAGACCACGAGGATTGAGAGAGTCAAAGCTCCACCTTCCCTCCTTGGTGCTCCAGCTGATGGGCTTCAGCTGGTGGGGCAAGGACAGGGTTCGCAGGCTTGGCGAAGGGCAGACTTACCTGGTTAGGATCAGGGGATGGCCCAAGGCAAGGGGCACATGGACACTTGGCGTACCACACTCACAATAGCTCTACCATGCCCAAGAAACATTGGCTTCTGCACAAGTGTTTGACATATGTGTAATAAATCTGTCATGTTTGGGATGCACTGGGTGTGCTGTGCAGAGCAGCACTGCCCCACATGCACTGTGGCTCTGATACTTCCTTCATATGCCAGACTTGGTACACATGCACCACACCATTTATCTGCAGCACCAGCCAGGACAACAGTTTCAACCTGCACAAGGGTCTGGTAAGAGTTCTTGCCCCTACTTCTGCTTTGCCTTGAAAAATATTGTTCCCTGTCCAGGAGCCCTGAATGGATAAAATCCTGACACTGCAGCCTGCCACATTTCCAGACATGATGGAGGACACCTAGCATCAGAGACCTATCGAAATGCCATAGCAGAAGAGTTACCCTCACAAGACAAGAGGTAGGAAGGTAGTTGGCAAGGCACAATGTCTTCCCTGGGCTATGCCAACAGAGGGACAGCTGCAAAATTTGCCATTTCAGGCTTAATCTGAGAAGTAAAGTTTTACTGCAGACCTAGGCAATGTCTGGCATGCGCCAGACTGTCCTTCAACTCAGAACCAAAGTTTTTTTCCCACTGTTCCTCTCTGCTGGCCCCATATGTAAAGTTGATCTCCACATGTGAGGTCAGCATGGCAGAGCTGTTAGTTTTGGAGTCCACCATAGATGAAAAAGGCTGTATCAGAGCTCCCCTGTCATCTTTTGTGTCCTCCTTTGATTTGTATTTCTGTATGTGATAAACTTACTCAGCTTTACAGTGATTTCCTGAAATGGATCCCAGCCAATTTCTGGTGCTTTTTTTGGTGGTAGGGTATTTTTTGTGTTGATTTGCTTCCTATTTTTTTCTCTTAAATAACTTTTTCCTGTGTGATCCTGAATTCCTCTAGTGCTCTTTTCCTCTCCAGGGAAATTCATCTTGGTTTCCTTTCCCTGCTGAAATACTTCCCTTCTTCTCTGCCACACTGATACGGGAAGAGAGGATCTGTCATGACGCCTTGGAACAGCACTGCCTCTGCTTCCCTCACTTATTACTGGCAGTAGCCAGCAGCAATCATCTGGGTGAAGAAACTCTGATAAAACCAACAGTGGAACAAAACCAGGCTTCAGAGGAGGGTTGTCCCCTGCCCTCCACTTCTCTACTGCTTCCTGAGTGAAGTGACCAGTGCAATATCCCACAATAAATGATTCATGAGTGTCCATATGTATAAAACCCATATTATAACACCTGGATTACTATTTCCCGTCTGATACCTTATATAGGTAGTTCAGATACTCTATGCCCTGACAACTGTCCCCAGCATCTCAGCTGAAAGATACTGGTTTCTTTGGCTTCTGCTCCTTTCCCTCTAAATCAGAAAGCAAGTCTACCACAGTAAGTTACTACAAGCAAACAAGCCTGAATAATAACAGTAGTATATATTTTTAAATTAAAAGAACAACTCCTGTCCACTAACTAACTGATTTTACATTGAGAAAGTATTTTTTATTACTGTAAAAAACCCTACTCAAAGCTACAAATACTGAAGTACAGTTAAGGAAACAGATACTTCAAGAGACAAGAAAATTAAATTATCTCAGACTTGTCTAGCACTTTAATGTCCTATGAATTACCTCCTTTCCTCACCAGCCCTTTGGAACAGCCAAAGGAGACTCCCCATCAGCACACATGCTGGTAAGGAAGTTTAGTGTAGACAAAGTCAATAAAACATATTGCTACATACCAAACCACCAACCATGAATACCTTGATATTAAGGTAATTCCAGCAGCCAGGGATATAACAAGCACATTAACACTGCTTCCATAGACCACATTATCAAGAAGTTGAAGCCAGCTTGCATACACACAAAAATGTTCCTGTTGCATGAAGCCAGATTTGCTTGTGCAAGATCTTGTTTGGCAGACACAACTGATTAAAAGTGTACAGGAGCATGACTTGTTCGAATGGCCTCAGCTGTTTGCTTTTTTTCAAATCAGATATGCTTTGCCACTTGAGCAAACCCTCAGGCACGCTTCACTGCCACTCTGATACAGGGGCAAAACTTGAACTGTTTTTTCAACCAGCATAAACCATTAGCAGGCTTGGCTTTAAAAAAATGCAGGGGTGAGGAAAGAAAACATTGAAAAGAACTACATAATCTTTAGATCTTTCCTAGGTCTGATGTGGTTCAGTAGGTTATAAAAGTTCCTCTTGAATTCTCAGTGCTCTGCCTAGCATGTACACCCTCCTCCCTTTGGGCTATGCACCAGGTTATGCTGCACAATTGTCAACCAGCAAAATCCTTCTCTGTAGCTGAGTTACAGAACACAAAATGAGAGAGAGAAGGGAAGCAGTCATTGCGAAAGCACGCTTCATCTCCACCACCAGCTGCAGCATGCGGTCATACAGCTGGACACTGTTGCCCTGGACTTCATAAAAGAGTCCTTCAGTGCTAGGACTGAAGATCGAGAGTAGTGATATGCAGGCTGGCAGTCAGTCATCTTGTGAAAGATGCTGCCTTTAGAAACTAAAATAGCATCTTTTTATTTTCTTTCACAAAAGGACTGAGCCAAATACCCCCTCAAGTCAAAATTAGTTCCCAAAGCTGTGCCTTTAGCTCCCCATTCCTCCGTAGAGCCACCCATCAGTGCAGAGCATCCCCGTGAATGGTGACTCTACCTGATATCTGGTCATGGAAGATGAATTAAAGCCGGAGAAGTCTCATGGTGCATTGTTTCTGAGGGATATTTGTACAGTCATCCTGTTCTTTCCAAGGGCAGAATGTAAGGCTTTGCAGTAACTATTGATTTACATAGATGAGCCTTGGAAACTACACTTATACAAGCAAATAGGAAAACAACCAAGCAGGCAGAGAAGGCAAAAAATGACTCAAAGCTCATTGAGGTTAATGGAGAAGCTCCGAGTGATTTCAGAGGTCTCTGGATCAGGCTTCCAAGTAGAGAAAAAGCACATACCACTAGCTTCTGAGCAGCTAACACACTGCAAGGAAACCATCTGTCCTTCCAAGAACTTGTCCTCTAGTCTCTGTCCTGGGGTCTGTGGGTGAACAGGGGACTTGGCTGTGCAGAACCTTCAGTCGAGGAACTGTCATGTACACCAAAGTCTTCTTTCAGAAAGAAATAAGTAAACTGATCAGTTTCTGAAGCTCTTCTTTTTG